GTCTTGTGAACTAGAGGCTGGAAATACCAGGGTGAGGGGCAGTGCCGCCGTCACAACACATCCCAAAGCCTCTGCCAGCACCGGCAGTAGAGCCAGGGCAAAGTCACAGGAGCTGGGGAGCTCACGCTCACCTGGGTTATGCTTGGGGGGGGCCCTTGTAGTTTTTGGCTGCTTGGTTGTGGTGGTGCGGATGACATCCCAAAAGCTGTTGTCTGAAAGGAAGGGAAAAAAAAAAAAGAGACAAAAATGATGCTACCCTCTGAAACGTGAATTCGGACAAGGGCTGTGGGGGGGAACCCCTCCCTGCTCTGGTCTCTCCGCAGCTTCGGATGGCCCCCCCCCGCCAGTCAGTGCTCCAGGGATGCTCAAGCCCTCGGTGTGGGTGGTGGGTGCCTTTGTGGGGATCCCCCGCACCGGAGTACGTGTCAGAGGGGCTTGAGTTTGAGAAGAGGACAAGCAGGGCTGCCAGGAACATCCCCCCAAACATACTGCCAACGGGACGCACACTACTGCCCACTCACAAGAGCTCTGCCACAGCGAGGGCAGCCCCACGCCACCCCTGCCAGCTACTCACGGCACGCAGGAGCAGGACCAGGCGCTGCCAAAAAGATACTTAAGGATGTGGTACTTCGTTAGTGAAATCTCCCTCTTAACAACAGTGCTAACGGCTCCATCCTGGTTAAACTTTTACAAGTGCTGCTTGGTGAAGCCCCTCGAAACAGCTTTGGCAGGGGGGTGTGGGCAGCAGGGGAGGGAGGACGGTGAAATGCTGGTGCTGAGCCTCCTGGCACATCAGCGAGAGCCTGGAGCATCTCCTCTGCCAGCTCCGCTATGACAGCGGAGCAGAAGGAGGTGGTCACCTTTTAAAGTCACCTGTTGGTGGTCATCAAAACTTGCCAGAGCTCATCTGTCAACGCCCGATCCCAGCCTCCCGGCTGCCAGGATGGTTCTCAGTTACCTCGGGGAGCGTGTTCTCCCCAATCGGGGTGCAGGGAGCTCCTTGGTACCTGGCTTCCCCGGCCTGGGGAAAGGCTTCGGAGTCGGCTTGGCTGGTTTGGTGGTAGTCTCCAGAGGGGTATCAAAGTAATCAGCCAAATCAAAGCCTGTTGCAGGAGAGAAGGGATTGTTAAAACCCGTATCGTTTGTGGGGACAGTGCAAGGGCTTTTGACACGCATCCCCTGCGTGGCAGCTCAGTGGGTGCTGTGCAAGCAACATTGCACCATTGCCGGAGACCGTCAGTGCCCGTGTCAGCGTGGAGCTGAAAAGGGCATCCAGCTGCTCCGCCGCTCAATCGCAACCGTACTGCCAAGCCTTCGGATCAGCCTGGCTATCGTTTAACCTCCCCATCCAGGCTGTGGCTGCCGCCCGCCTCCAGCCTGAGCAACCCCAAAATAATGTGTTTGGTGGGGGGGAGGCCTGTCCGTGTCCTGCAGCATCTCCTGAGGGATGGTGCAGATGAGAAGGTGCTGTGGGGATCGAGCTGGTGGCTGGGACCCGCTCTGATCCCTGCACGGCCGCCGTGAGTGACCCTGCGCTGAGCAGAGCACACACGGGAGAGGGGCCAGGGCACAGGAACTCGCCGCAGGAGCCCCTCGGAGCCATCACTCATCCTAAAAGCACTCCCTGGGGAAGAAGAAACTTGCCGAGACAAAGCCGCAGCCTCGGCATACGTCCATTTCCCGGGGAAAAGTTTATTGGATCAAATGGCCTCTCGCTCGGGCTGCGCTCCAAACACCAAAGCCCTGCACTGCTTCTGGCACTTGGCTTTTCTTGTCCCTAGAAAAGACCACAGCAGCCAAGGAGCTGGACAGTTGGATTTGCTTACATTTGTGCCAAGATTGTCATGCAGGGACGAGCAGATTCACTTCTGAGCGCTTCCCCACTGCAGTTTATTTCAGGCTCCTCTGGTGGGGTTGAGCAACCCTCGGCTCTTGTGACCGCACTATATTTAAGCAGGCATGTTTGGCCAGAACGGAGCCAGAGGAGCTGCCGGCGATGAAACTCAGATGAATTTAAGGGATCTTCCTCAAATGGGGCAGATGTTGTGGAGCCAGCCAGCCAGCACATCTGACGGCCACAAACAGTCGGAGAGACATTCTTCCCTGGGTGGGGGAATGCCACCAGGCTGGGCCTTTCTGTGGAGGTCAGGGATATCTTGGAGTAAAAAAAGAAGGAAAATATCCTCTGGGCTCCCTCCTAGAAGGAAAGCTAGCAGGTGCCATGCAGCCAGAAACAAAAGTGCTTGTGTAGCTGAGCAGTGATTTGTGTCTTTTCCATTAGGATACTGCAAAGTGTGCAAAATTCAGCCTTGGCCGTAAATGCTCCACTGCCACTTGCCTTCAGCATGGACAGAAATATCAATACTGCATTTACTTTGGCCGTACGGGAGGAGTGCATGTATGCAGGTCGGCACCAGCTTTCTTACGGGCATGCGAAGGTGTCCCAAATCCTCTGCTTAGGCAGCAGCCCCCAGCCACACACACACAGCCCCCGGGGGGACTCACACGGTTCAAATCCCAGTGGGAAGCAAACCCCACGCTGTGCTTAAATGTTACACACGCAAAAAGGTCTCACCTGTCCCACCTGCCGGCTTCTTGGGGCCCTTCGGAGTGGCTGTGACAAAACAGACGGGGAGGAAAATGTTAGTCATGGGCATCATCAAAAATGTGTCACTTCTGGATTGAGAATAAATGGCAAAGATTTCATCATGAGCTTTCCAGCTGACCATCGTTGGTCTGCATGTGTCAACTCGGAGCCCAGAAACCCCCACGCAGACGGTGCGTGGCCCCAGGGATCGGGACTGCCTGTGTGCAAGGGCGAGCGGCGGATTCAGCCCCACGCAGGATTGAGCCCAGAGCTCTGCGGGGCTCAGCTGCCTCGGGGGCCCAACGCTGCCTCCGTGCAGGCCGAGCAGAAAGTGGAGAGCTGTAATAAACTGCTCCGAATTTAAGACTCCTGGAGACAGCAGCAAACAGAGCAAGGACAGATACCGTACAGAACAGCGTGGAAAACAAGAGTAAGCTGCCAATGTTTTATTGTCCTCTGCCCGGTCAGTTAGTTAAATGACAGACAATTTCCACAGCTGCATCACATGTGGGGGGGTCCCCATCAGCTGGAGGAATTTTGGTGACACCCCAATGCTCAGATCTCAGCTCCCTTGGCCACTCCTGGGCTAAAGCCTTTGGGGGGATTGATTATTTATTTTTTTCACCTCTTGTAAACGACTATCTATTAATAGTGGCTAGCATTACCAAGTATATGAATAAATGATGAGCAAGAGTTGTGGCTGCTCTATTCCCATTAATTTCCATTTGCGCTTCTGAATACCGGAGTGCTTCTGCTGGGCTTCATTTCCAGTGTGCCAGTACGGTTTGATGTGACCCAACCCCAGACCCTTCGTTTGCCTTTATTCCGGGGCTGATGCGATGAAGTCCAGAGTGGGATGCAGCAGTTGGGGAGGCTGCAGGGACAGCACTGCTTCTTCTCCCCGCTCACAGCTGGGACTCCAGCCCAGGGAAACGCTGCTTTCCCTCCGCACGAAGTGGCCATTAGGTGTTTCTAACTGGGTCTCCCCATATACCGTATTAAAGGGCTTGCCAAATCCTAGACAAGATCACCCACACCTGTGATCAAGTCTGGTACCTCATGGTCTATCCTATCCTCCTCCGGCTGAACCCGGTGTGCCGCAGGAGAGATGCACAGACCATCCTGACTCTTTATTCCATGTAAACTCCCAACGTAACATAGCACAAGTGTCTGTGTGTTGTTAGACTATAAAGTAAGAGGTTTCAAACCCTGTTACAGCTTTCACTTAAACACCTGTAGGTGTATTTTGATCACAGAGGCTGGCATTGCTCGCAGAGTGCTCCCTGGGTGCTGGGTCTGGGGACGGTCACCATGAACCGCATGGGAAGGGATGGGCAGCGAGGAGTCCTGAGCACTGGCGTTTGCAACTCTGCCATGGCATCTCCATGGCCTGGCAGCAAAGGGGAACCAGCAACACGTCTGAGTGCAGATCACTCTTGGGCTCAGCCCACTTTTGGGCTCAGCCCTTGGCGCTGGGGAAGGTGTGCACCATGCCCCGGAGAGGGAGACGAGCCTCCAGCCATCAGCTGCTGTGCTGGCAGTTAGGTTATATCTTTTGGGTGTAAAATGAGAGCTGCTCTCCTAAATTTCCTCCCCTCAGGGTGATGCAAAGCCCCTGCCAGCCCCCTGACCTCGCCGCTGCTTCTGCCAGGCCCGAGGCTGAGCTCTGCCAGTCGCTGCTGTCCCCTCAGTGTCACAGCCCGGTCATAAAAATTATATATTTCAAAGCCAAATATTAAGTATCAGCAAGGCATCCCCTTCAGAAATGAGATTCCTTTGACTGACGAGCTACAGTTGTAATTAAGCGAAGCAATGCAGCAACCCAACGCACTGTTTGCTCTCCCCGGGCACCACGTTGCAGCTGGATGAGGGAAGGACCCGGCGCTGCCCCTGCCCGGCCGGGCTCAGCAGGTTGCCCTCACCAGCTGGAGTAGTTAATGCATGAGCTTCCAGGCAAAGAGAGTCACGTTTGATGGTCGGTGTTACTAACGAATGCGAGGAAGCCAAAAAGACGTGTTCAGTGTTGTTGCTACGTCAAAGCACTGGTATGCCTCTGTGGTTTGCCCACCGCAATCAGAAAGCGAAGGGCACGTGGTCAGCAACCAACTTCTCTAGGACCATCCCCAGTCCCACCCGTTGGCCAGCCCGGACACTGCGTCTTCCTGGGTAGCCCATATCCTCCACCATCCTCCCACCAGCATCAGATCCCAAAGAACAAATTGCATCATCTAACATCTATTTTTTTTCTCCTCTTTAAAAGAATAAATAAATGTGACTTACGTTGCTTGGTGCTGAGGTCATACAGGGCATCTTCTAGGCTGAATTCACGTGGGTCATCCCCGTGACCTGGAGATAAAGAATCAGCACTGGTTGTACTCACTCTGCACAAAGTAAACCGCCTTTAAATACAGCATGCTAGACTCGTTTGCTCAAATTGCTTTAGGTTTTTGCTGTTTTTTCCCAAGCCTGACCCATCATCGGCAAAGAGGAAGACATCAGCCTCCTCCGAATGCTGTGACTGTTAAATTGCAGAGCAGTCATCTCTGGATTTTCCATTTGTCTGCCCTAATGGATGCGGTATAAAAACACATGCTATGCTTAAATTTGTCAAGGCGAGCCTACCAATTCATCCCTCGACCTGCCACTCATCTGTGGCTATGCTCACAATTACACGTTTGCTAAACACCATGAAAACATTGGGACAGAGCAGACAAATTAGGTGAAAAACAAAAAAAGCCCTATGCACCTCTTCTTCACAAGTGCCTTCCAACATCAAAGGCTTCATATGAAAACGCTGCTGCTGGCTGCCAAGCACAACTTAGCATTTCTTTCAGAGACCGCCTGCATCGTTCTGCCTTGGTAATGCAAACCAGGACGCAACCCCCATCCCAGGGATACACCTGACAGGCACAGGCAGATTTTGTTGTTAGAGATGCCTCACCACAACTCCAGTCACTTTATAATATCCCAGGGATAACTTGGTGCTACGCCGTGTTCTCCTGCGATAGGGCCAGCTAATCCTTCCTTTCTCTGTCTTTTTTTTGCATCGCGTTAATTACTGTTGACTTACCCTAGTTCTGAATGTATTTGTCTTGATAAATTCATGCTTTTACATCTCAGAGCATGCTGAGTAATTAATATCCTTTGGGTTTGCTAAGTACTGCAGCACTGCAAGAGAACATTAAAATGGCTTTCCTCTTATTCCTACTGCTAAATGGATTTAGCTATTGCCACCTGAGCTCCAGCATGCTTCATGAATAAATTTAAAGCTTTACTGACAAGGACAATAACAATGGGAAGGCACCAGTCCATCAGAAAGCAGGTATCAGCATTTCGGTGAAAAACTTCTACCAAGAGCGGTCACTAAGTACTGCAACACCTCCAGCTCCGGTTTCACTTACTCACACATCACATCTCGTTTTGTCTGCCGTCTATTTAAATGTACGCTCAGCAAACCGGAGGGTGATTTAAATGCCGGGTCTATGGCTGGAAAGTTGCTATGGGCTTCTCTCCCCTGGCAAAGCACTTGGCGTTAAGCTGCTGCTGGGGCTGTGTAAGTAATGTACGTCCCAGGCCATGGCTGCGTTTGTCATCGAGGTGAAGGATGCCAACGCTTCCCCTGTGAGCCCGGAGGAACGGCCGGCAGCGGGCGATGCCCTGTTGCAGGTGGAGCCCGGTTACCACTGTGTGAAATCCATGGAGCGGGGCTTGCAGACGAGCCCCTTGCTCAGCACAGCAGCGTGGCAGGGCCGTGCTTGGCACCCTCAGCCTCCCCGCACACCCCCCTGCTCCCTCGACGAAATATTTGCCTCTTGGGCCTTATTGCTGGTGAAATATTGGCACCGTGAGACAGGTGATGCTCTCCCGCTCTGATAGCCCAGAGGAAGCTGCAGGGTTATCAAGTGGTCTGTTGGTGCAAAGGAGCAAAATAAGGAACATGCAATACCATCCACGGTGCCGAAAAAACACCCTCCCAGCTCTAGTACTTGCATGGGGTGCTGCCGAACCACCAGCACGTCCCTGCTGAGAGCCCACAAGCTCATTACTGCTGTGGCCGACTGTCCTAAGCTTGCTACTCCGGCAATTTCATGTAGGTTCCCTTTCCCAGCATGGCTTTTTCCCCAGCCTTTACTGGATTTTCAGGAACTGGCAGGGCTTCATCATTCTTGTCTTTTGATTTTAAACTGTGTTTAAAAAGAGGTGGAAGGGGAAAACCGTGGCGCGTCTCTGGCAGGATGAGAAGTGCTACAAACCCAGCTGGGGGAAATGTGCCGTCACTGCGTTTCATTTCAGTTCCCCCTGCCTCTGCGGTGGGCAGGGCGAGCTGGCAGGAGGGACGTGGTGGCAGCACCAAGACTCACATCGGTATGCCAGGAGCCATCCCTTCCCTCTCCTCCTGCCCCGCTCCGTGATTAAGTAAATGTTAAGGGCGCTGATTTGCTGCACGCCGAGCCCCGCTGTCACTGCGTCCTCCCTGGGCTTCACCTTTGATGTAGGAGCCCAAATACAAAGTGAGGGGGAGCGGGCAGCCGTGGGGGTGCTTGCACCTCGCCCCTTCTTCTGCTGAAGGGCCATGGGGGTCGTGGAGCTGCAGAGAGACACCCCCCTGGCAGGGCTGCGGGCTCTGCAGGGAATCTGAGTGCCCCAAAAAATGGGCTCCCTCCTGCCTGGCTTTGGGGGGCTCACCAGACCTGCCCCGGCTGAGCAGCACTCACACCATCCTGGGTTTGCTGACAGCTCCCCTTGGCATCTCTCCCCACAGGACAAGAGAGTGGCCATTGCAAAATCTCTCTCCAAAGAGCCACCTGGCAGAGGAGTGGGTCCAGAGGGATGGAAGGCACTCAGGGTCCTCCATCCTCCCGGGCTGATGTAAAACTGCAACCGCCAACGTCTCCTGGGCTGCAGGTGCATCCTGGGGGAATCCCCCCCGCCGGGGAGAGGCGTGCGTGCAGCCCCTCTCAAGGTCAGGAAAACTGTCCACACACCGAATCAGCCCGTAAAACCTTCCCTAGGCGCTGCAGCGCTTGGCACAGCTCGTTTCCCAGGGCTTTCCCACCGCCGCCCACGGCAAACCAAGATCCTTTTCCAGGGCAATTTAAACCCAGGAATCCCCTAGGTGTTGGCAAGGATTAATAATAGATTGCCAGTTAATTGAAGCTAACATCTTTACTTCATGCAAAGGGTGTTATAGAGACGTATTACACCTTTTACGGATCAATAACCGAGCGCTGCTGTCAAAGGCATGCAAACTCGCCTGCTCGCGCCAACAGATAAGAGCTGAACGTTCTCCTTGTTCTTTTGCTCTGTTATTAACTGGTAACAAACCCGGCTCTTTGCAGCCAGACACTTAAAACCCAACCAGCACTTGGTACGTGTGTTTACCTTGCAGAGACTGCTTTTTGGGAGGCAGCGCTGCTGCTCCCTGCACGGTCTTGAGCAAATCCCTTTGCTCCTGGGGTCCCGGTCCCAGCCCACAATCACCGGAGGAGTGGGTCTCCTGGGTTCCCAAAGCCCATCCTCTGATGGGAACCCACGCACAGCACGGAGTATTTTTATAGTAAGGGTTTATACTCTCTGGGAGAAGCTGGGGCACGTTCCTCCATGCTGGGGCTCACAAGCAACCCGCTGCTGAGTTGCAGAGGTGTTTGTCTGTAATGACAGGCATTAAACCCATCCTCAGGGTCGTGCATACCCTGATGTTTCACCTCCCCTGTGGGACGTACCCAAGCTGCCTGCGACCTGTTACAGGACTATAAAACCACTGATATGCAAAATCATCCTCCGCTGGTTGCTCGGTGTTGGGGAGCAGTATAGGATCTTCACCAGGGTTGATGACTAGGCTAGTTTGGGGGTTTTTTCCCTACCCTTGCACTGGGTCCTTGGAAGAACTCTTGTCTCTAGCTGCTGGGAGAAAACACCCATCCCACACGGGAGGCGATTCAAGGCCTGCGTGCTGGCTGGCCCAGGGCACTGGAGCATCCGCAGGACTGCAGGTCTATGGCAGGGGCTGGGAAATGGGCAAACGAGACGTGTTTTCCGTATTTTTCTTTAATATGACAATCAAAAGAAACCAAGCTGGGATATCTCGTGGTACCTAATACGAATCCCCCAACGCCAGAGCGGGGAGGTGGGGGGACCCCAAGGCTGCAGCTGTGCCGGGTGGAAGCCGGAGAACAGAGGTGGGAGGTATGGCCGAGTACCG